ATTACATGCTTCCGCAGTTTAAATAAGATGAAGACCGTTTCATCTTTCCCTTAATTTGCCAAATTAACTATTATTAACACTTTATTATTGGGTGTATACTTTATTATCAGGTTAAATACAGGTTAAACACTTTATTATTGGGTGTATACTTTATTATCAGGTTAAATACAGGTGTTTCTGTTATAACACAATACATACATTCTGGAAAAACCCATGCTCTGCAAAAGATGCATGAATTGTAGGCATATTGGGAAAGCAGGGTCAGGAGCAGATCACTCAAAACCTATGCAACTTTGAAAACAGAGCACCAGCAAAAACAACATTTGATACCCCGAGAGATAACCTGACATCCAGGGCAGGCAGTGGGGCTAGCGTCTGCCACAGGAGATATGAAAAATGCACAGAAGGAACTGTGAAAATGAGGACAGGCGGCTAGTAGAAGCTGAGCTCTGACCCAATTAAGGCGGGCACAAAAGGTGGCGCCACCTACTGGAAGCCGAGAGCTGTGCAAAGCCCCAGGGAGCGCCCTTCAGGCGACGGAGCCCTGAATGTACAAGCTTGTTTTCAAAGTTTGTAACATAGGACGGAACGGCCCCCCTGCCTGTGCAGCAGCCAAGCCAAGTGGCGGTTCCTTACTTGTTGAAGGGATGATTCTACTCCCACTATTCCAGCTCCCAGGAAAAACTATACATAAGCCAACAAAAAATGATGTACAGGCCAAGGAAACTTGCACATATATACTAACAAAGGTCCCCTATTTATCAATCACAAATGAGCTAACAGATTATAGAAAGAATAACTATATAATTATCTTTCTTCTTAAATTTTTTTTTTAAAGTTACAACTATTTGGAGAGTACCAACAACTATTTGGAAAGTTCCACTAAAATTTTTTATTTTATTTTTATCATTAAGTACAATAAGTTGTCATTCATTTAATTTCCCCCATGCAAAAGGGGTTCATAGTTTACCTTCTTAACCTTGGCCTCCTTCAGTTTTTCCAAAGCCATCTTAATTTTATCAGCCTTGGCTTGGGCTTCTTCATCTTCCTGTGAAATAGCAAAATAATCAACACGGTCCATTGAATAATACCAGTAAGGAATTACTCCTGTCTTAGTTACTTTATGTAAACAAAAGGTACCAAATTTCCCATGCTCAATTTTCAGAATTAAAAAAAATCTTCAACCCAAAGATATAGAAGGCAGTCACCCTTTATAGCTTGGGAACAGTAACCTAAAAGATAAAAAGATGACTTTAAGAGTGCTTCACATATTGAGACCACAAAAATCTCTGCTTGGCTCACAAACTGGCATCTAACCTAAGGAGTCTATAGATGGATCCATCTCAAGGGATTTAAGCACTCCCTGAAATAATATACACACTTTTGGATCAGGATGTCTTTTTGGGGATTCTTGGTTTGTATTAGATCCTTACAGGGGTCCTTAATTCCCCCAAAGTTAGGACTTAAACTCAAAATTAAACTTAAAATTCAGCAAAAAAGCACTGACAGACACACATCAGCCGGCAGAAAAGAGAGTATTTTATGAGCTCAAAGCCCTTTGATTTTTGCAAGTTAATATTCCGAGAATAGGATAATTAAGCCTCTCCCACCTATTTATAATGATGAGGAAACGAGCTGTTCTAATTACATTCTAATTACTTGAAAGTAGACATATATCTTTTTATAACAGTGGTTCTTAAATTTTTCTTTGAGCCACAAGACCTTTTAAGAACACGTTGAAAGTGAGGAAGCCTGTAAAACTTCCCATATGCATTCAACTTTGCACTTACGTTCAGGGGATTCATGCCCCCCGTGAAATCTTCATGACCCTACATTAAGAGCCTCGGCTCTATATTTATTACAATTTTCAAATAATTTTCTATAACAAATACACAATAGAGCAATGAGTGTGATAGAGTATGACTTAATATTTGATTTATATTTAATATTTGTTCATTCAAAAGACATTGTAGTAACTGTCAGGGTCACTAGGGTCACATTTATAAACACCGATCATTATCACACAGTACAACAAAGGTGGAAGCCACAGGAAATGGAACTGGGTTCTTACCCTAAAATATTTTTAAACAGCTTACTCTAAGAAAAATTCTTAAAAGTGCTCTTTTTGCTTTCATGAGAGACATATTACGAGTTAATATCCCAAATAATGACAATATGGACTTTCCAATTGTTTGTTTTTCAATATTCAGAAATTTATTAATATCGAGCACTCATCACCCATCTGCTTTTAACACCCCCTCCCCGGCCATGACATTACAAGTGGTACTTAGATGTATCAGAGCTGCCAAATTCAAAAACATGGAAATACATAAATCAGTTCCACGGTTCATACAACGTTAATCAAACAGTTCCCCCAAGGGCTGAGTATTGTCAGGGGTTTTCTGCATACAAATATAGTTTTTCACCAAACTATAATAAATCCTGAATATGGTCCTAATATGTTCTTTACATACACCTATGGGTCTTGTTCATGGAGGGCTCCGGCTTTGCAATGAATGTACTCTAGCAATCCCTGTATTTGGTATCTCAGAGCTTTGGGCATACAGACCTATGAATGTAATGATCACTT